TGAGGAGTACATACTGACCCAATTTAGCCTTCCCTACCCTGGTGGCTTCCAGATGTGGCTGAACTACAAGTCCCATCATCCCTTGAGCACTGACTATGCTGGCTGCAGCTGATGGGAAGTTGTAGTCCATAATATCTGGAGGGCACCAGGTTAGGAAAAGCTGGTCCATTTCAACAGCATAGCCAAAGCATAGCTTGGCCATTAGGAATGTGCTGCAAGTCATCTCTCTTTCCTTCTCAAACATACAAAGATTCCTTTTTAAAAAGCAAATGCAGTTTGTCAAGCATCTCATCATAGGGACACATTTCTACATAGCCTTTATACACGCATATGTTTTGAGAGCAAAGCAAGGATGAGACAAAGGAACACGAAGGGAGGTTTATAGTTACCGATGGATTAAGGAACCTGCTTCATGGTGCATTAAAACAGAACAAATGGATGATAAATGGACCCCTCCAAACCAGTGGCAGTCGGGGTTTGTGGTATGTTCTGCAAGATGTTAAATAATGGTTAAATAAAACCTCCCCCCCCCCGCCCAATTCTGATCCAGGCTCTCCCTAGGTTGATCATGTGAAAAAGAGGTCAAGGCTCGTGCATCTTTAAAAGCTATGTAAAAAAAGGCAATTTTAACAGGTATAGTTTGCAGTGCTGGAACACTGTACTTTAAGGGTGCTTCCAGATCGTCAATATTTAGTGGGAGAGATTTAAGCACATGCCAGGAAAGTTAAGTTTGCACAGTTGAAGCAGATTAAAGGGCTCTGTTGCCCTAATGCAACAAATCCACTTGAAAGGAAAAGAAATTGACTTTTTCCAGTTAGGAAAGCAATGGGGAAATGTACTGAAAGTGCAGGATGAGCCGATGAACACTCCACAAGCAAATCAGAAGGAATGCTCATTGTGGTATGACCTCCCTGCAAACAAATTGGAACAAATAATCAGCAAAGACCAAATATAATCCAACCTCCGCATAAGTTCTGTGCAAGCAGAGGAATGTGCAATAAGCAGGTTGTTTGGAGGAGATGCGAGTCTTAATGCAATGGGTGACTTTTATGGTGTTCCCTAGAAACTATCCATAATAGCTTCTGAATTATCAAATGGGTTCTGCTGAGCATAACTTTAGGAAAAATAAAAATAAGTTAAGGCTGCAATTCTATTGGGAGCAATCCCAACAGTACTCAGTAGAACTTACTTCTGAGTCAGTCCACATGCTCCGGAATGTAGTGCAAGATATCTCCTGAGTTTCAGCAGCTGCGATTGCAGCCAAGGTGCTCTTTTTATTCTGTGAACCCGGTGCAGACGCAGAAAGGGGGCAAATTCAAGATTACTCGAGTGGCAAAGATCAGTGCATTAGCAAGCCAATCACACTGTTATTTTTAGAGAATCTATGGGATGCCTCTCATGATACCGTTTCAAAGAACAGTGGCACCAACCTCGCTGCATTATAAATAGGATGACCCCTTTTTTGAGCAGACTGAAAGACGGCCAGCCAGATGCTTAGGTCACCTAACATCATGATTCCCCCCCCCCCAATCTGCAGAAAGCTCACAGCACAGCACTACCAAGATGGACTCTAATTCCAGAGGTAAGCCTGGCCAGGGCGATGAACAGCCTTTGGAGGAATTTTTTAGAATCAGCAGGCATTAAGCACTCATTCCATCCTGCTCACGAACTTTCTTCTACAATGGCCCCCTACCGACAGCCGCACATTCGTGATCTCAGCAGACCTGGGTCTGCCAAGACAACATGAAGTTCCATTCTAGGGTGCTTCTAGACCGTTGCCATTTTTGAACGGGACCCGATCGCCTACCAGCAAGTTCGAGTGGTGCAATTACAGCTGATTTAGTGTTCTTGTGCAACAAACCCACTCTCTCTCCCCACCAAAACTGGACTTTCTGCACTAAGAAAAGTGAAGAAGAAATGCACTGGAAAGTGTTGATTAACATTTGCTTGGTACAACACTGTCTAACCACAGTAACTTGGAGCTGGGCTTTTAAAGTGTGGCTTTCCCTGTACTGCGGAACAGCATTCCTGTCGAGATACGACAGGCTCTCAAACAAACAATTGAGGACATTTTTCTTGACCGGACTTCCCAGCTGGATGCAGGGGTCTCTGCCAGGGGTGTCTACTTTGTACTGTTTTAAAATGTATCTGTTGCTATTTTCTGTGCTGTTTTTGTTGCATTACGTACATCGCCTTGAGACATGTGTGTCTCGAGGCATGTGATTAATTGATTGACCTCTCTGCAAACAAATCAGGATAAATGCTCAATAAACAGGTTGTCTGGAAGCAACTTGAGGCACTGTGCTACACTTCTTGAAAGCTTAATAGTTCCTTGTACCTTACTAGGGAATTGGTAGAATCCTTGGAATAAGCCACACAAGTCATTGTTTTGATTTTAAAACAACACCCCATCTTCTTTCCTTTGCCTTACCCATCTCGTACTTTTTCTGGTTTGCAATTCTGTTTAAAGGTGTAGGAACCCTGGCCCTCTTTTGGTCAGTGCACCATATTTTATGCTACCTCCCTTTTAGGAAAGGCTCGTTTTTAAAGGGGAAAATTGGCTTGCGTGTTAAAAGGATCTACATAATAAAACAAGGAATGGGCTCCAGAATATTATTATTTTTCTCCGGGAGAGGCTGCAGAGATCCTTGGGCCTGTCAGGGAAAGGGTTTATTTACACCCTAGGCGTGTCTGAGTACTGGCTGGGCCAAAGCAGCTCAGCTGTGTCTGGGACTGGCACCGTGCCTGGGCTGGACTCCAGCCAGGGGCACAGCTAAAACCCAAAGAAGCAAAGCTTGAAGTCTCACTTAAGACGCACAATCTCGGTGCAGGGCTGCCAACCCACGAAATAAAGAAATGAAAATGCCAGTGCCCAGGCAAAAGCTGGAGTGGAGCCTACTGGAAATGCTTTGTCCATATGAGGCAAGAATGAGGATCATCATCATCATCATCACCATCCCAGAGATCCACCTTCCTTTATGGAGAAGGCTTCCAGGGACCATTTGTTAGTGGTGGGCAGGACCAGAGACGAAAGTGGGTGGAGCAATGGATGAGACTTGTATCTTCAATGACACATTCTAGCCAGGCAAAAGCCCCCCATGAGGGTACAGAGCATAGCTGTCAACTTTTCCCTTTTCTTGTGAGGAATCCTATTCGCAATAAGGGAATTTCCCTTTAAAAAAAGGGAAACGTTGACAGCTATGGTACAGAGTTAGTGCCACAGCTGACCAAAGCCAGCTAATAGGTTTGGCTCCTGGTTCCTCTTTGCTGCAGGCCCTCTTTTCCTTCTCACCCAAAACAGCGCTAGGACCATCTTGGGAGAGAGAGCTGCCCACCCAAGAATGATCCTGCCAGGCTCCTCCTAGCTGCTGCCATCGCTTGCCAATCAACCAGCCAGTACTCCCCCACCCCTCTTTTGAAAGGGTCTTGTTTGGTCTTGAGCAAAGGCTGAAGGCTCAGCAACCTTGGTTTTGCACAGTGACTCACTCCTGCACTAGTTAAAGCCCAGGGTTAGCTCTCTTCAAGGCCTCTCCTCCCGCAATATGAACCATAACTAGAGGTCCACCAGAATTTCTTCCTTGCCTGCCTTTTGGTTGTCTCTTGGCTCTCACACAGGAGGAGCAGCAGAGCTGCAGGAGGAGGGGAGAATGTTCTCTGGCAGGGAACATCAATGGCTGTTCCTACTGGGGCATTTCTAAAGAACCTCTTTGCCTCTTGTGGGAGCGCATGGGTCCTTCACATCAGATGCTATGGTGACCAATTGCCCATCCCTAGTGAAGACTGATGAGTGAGTAGTTCTGTCTTCAGGCAGAGATAAGGATGAGGCATGCCTTTGGTCCCTTACAATTAAATAACTCTACATCATCATAAACTTTTACTGCAGTAGCCTAAAACATCTAATACATTCAACAGTCACTAAATATACTGTAAAACCACATCCAGATCTACTAATATTCTTCGTTGCATAGAATAAAAGGCAGATCTCATATAAAATATACAAATTAAATCCACAAATCCCCTTTGCAATTTACCGCCAGCTCTTTTGCCCTATTTCCCTAGCTGCCAAGGCATGGAGAGCTATTTTCTAAGTTACAAAGTCATCGGCATCGCTCAGCAGCCATTTCAACCTCTCCCAGCTTTGGTTAAATTGATTTCCTTCATGAACAAAGGTTTTCTAAATTGATTTCTTGCTTCTGTATGTAGTGGACATTGTACGTGTCTTCTACATAGGGTTGCTCATACCTCATAGGGTATTTTAAACTCTACAACAGCAAACTCCATTGGTGAGTGCTGACAGGACTGTAAACAAAACAGGATACAAAAAGGGGGCATCATCAGGCTCGAGGTTTGCCCAAACACCAGTTTAGGTGTGAACAGGGTCTTCTCATGCCCAGTGACACTTCTATTCCACAAGCCAGAACTGCTCCTACTAGTAAGTGGTTCACATCGATTCCACCCCCCCCCCCGACAAAGCATTCAGTCGTTCACACAATGCAATTTCAGATGAAAGACTGGGCATGGAGAAAGAGAAGACTTTCATTAGTTCTGGATGAGAGCTAAGTGTTCTGTTGCTTTATCCTTCTATTTATAGATTCTATTCATAGATTTTGGGAGCTGGCCAAACCCCACGTGCCTAGTGTTGATACTGAGATATATGACAACTCTGCCCCCATCTATATCACTCTTAATCACTGGATTACTTACTAATTACCCTTGATAGTCAACTGCAGTCCCATTTCTTTCTCTCTCTCTCTCTCTCTCTCTCTTTATTTTTACACGAGTGATCTTGTGCACTACAGCTGATGACCAAGCAAGTCAGGTGGTGTTTAACCAATCCAGAAGCATTTGCCCACATTGGGCAGATGGTTCCTGCATTGCAGGGGGTTGGACTAGATGACCCTTGGGATCCCTTCCAACTCTATGACACGTCTATGTCTTATTTCTGCACACAAGTATCTTAAGGAATCCCCAAAGAGCCTTTTAAAGCCCTTTGATGGGTTGTTGGAATAGCTCAGTCAGTAGAGCGTGAGACTCTTAATCTCAGGGCTGTGGGTTCGGGCCCCATTTTCGAAGCGGCACTAAACAACCCTACGGGGTCCCTTCTAATTCTACAATTCTATGTTTCTATTCTATGATGATCAGGGACACGGGTGGTGCTGTGGGTTAAACCACAGAGCCTGGGACATGCCGATCAGAATCCCCGTGACGGGGTGAGCTCCCGTTGCTCGGTCCCTGCTCCTGCCAACATAGCAGTTCGAAAGCACATCAAAGTGCAAGTAGATAAATAGGTACCGCTCCGGCGGGAAGGTAAACGGCGTTTCTGTGCGCTGCTCTGGTTCACCAGAAGCGGCTTAGTCATGCTGCCCACATGACCCGGAAGCTGTACGCTGGTTCCCTTGGCCAATAAAGAGAGATGAGCGCCACAACCCCAGAGTTGGTCATGACTGGACCTAGTGGTCAGGGGTCCCTTTACCCTTTACTTATTCTATGATGGCTTAAAAAAAAAGGATTCAACGAATTCAAAGAGGGGGATAGATCTCTTAGAGGCTATTTGGTATGATAGATAAATGAACCTCCATAGTCAGAAGCAGTTTATCTCTTGAGTACTAGATACTGGAGACAAACACCAGGCAGCTCTCACCTTAATGTCCAGCTTGCAAACGTGCCCAGAAGCATCAGCTTGGCTGCTTCAAAAAACCAAAACAAAACCCAAGCCTGGAATTCTGGATGTGACGGAACTTTGCTCCAAGCCAGCAAGGGAATTCTTGTTTTCTTTTGCTCTGTTGTTCTCCAGCGAGTCTCAAGAGGGGCGGGTAGCCGCCTCCAATACAAATAAGGACCATAAGGAATCCTTGCCACCTACGGGAGGGCCACTGAAATGGGCGCACGCAACAGCGACAGTTTCTGTGAAGCAAGAAATTCTCACCCTGCTACTTGAATGACCTTTCAAGTACGTAGTTTATTGAACACAGCCTGCAATCAGAGCCTCGCTTTCCAGGAAGAACCAGGCACTGCAGATGTCAGCTTCAATAACAGCCCCAGCTGAACCTCACATGATCTGATAACATTCTGTCACTACCAGAAGCTGCTGCGATGGAGCTAGGTAGCTTTTGCGAAACCTGATAAGGAAACACACCACAGAGGAGCTATCAAATACTTCTTCGGAGGATGAGATGATACGGGCAACAAGGAGACCATTTCTCCTTTCAGCTGAGCCACACACACAAAGGCCTCAAGTGAAAAGCCGTATTGATTCGTGTACAAGTTGACTTTTCGACATCTGTTCTGTCCCCCCAATTATATACTATTAGACTCCTCAGTGGCCTCTTCCTCAGACTCATAGGGACCTCCTGCTTTACATATTAGGTGTGTGTTGTCAGCAACCACTCTAGGGAATCACAATTTGAGTGGGTGAAGAAGAGGTGCAGAGCATGATCTGAAGTAGCCGAAAGTGCTAAGGGCGCCCAGACCCGTTTAGCTGGAATGCCTTACAAGCCGTCGAAGAGCCAAGCCAGGCTTTGCATGCACTGAACTATTAAAGGTGTACAGTAGACCCACCACTTTTGCGAGGGTTCGGTTCCGGGGGTCCACGCACCAAGGTGGAAATTGTGCAAAGTCAGGAGCCCCCAAATTGCCTTCCTGTGAGGCGGAGGGCTTGCTTACCGGGGTCTGGGAAAACTAGGAGGATAATAATAATAATAATAATAATAATAATAATAATAATAATAAATTTTATTTATATCCCGCCCTCCCCAGCCGAAGCCAGGCTCAGGGCGGCTAACAACAATAAAATAGTACAACATTCTAAAATCATTTCATTATAAAATTAATTCAAATCAAATTGATGGCAACCATTAGGCTAAAGTTCTGTGAAGATTGCCAAAGGAGGGAGTCAGGCTGTGCCCTGACCAAAGGCCTGGTGGAACAGCTCTGTCTTGCAGGCCCTGCGGAAAGATGTCAAGTCCCTCAGGGCCCTAGTCTCTTGTGACAGAGCGTTCCACCAGATCGGAGCCGCAGCCGAAAAAGCCCTGGCTCTAGCTGAGGCCAGCCTAACCTCTCTGTGACCTGGGACCTTCAGGATGTTTTTGTTTGAAGACCGTAAGTTCCTCTGTGGGACATACCAGGAGAGGCGGTCCCGTAGGTACGAGGGTCCTAGGCCTTATAGAAATGGCATAGAAATACTGTTAGTAAATAAATAAAAACTCTGCCAAAAAACGGAGCAGCTTTTTCAGAATAACTGCCGACACTAGATTTATAACAATTCCGTTTTAAGAGCTTCCCAGTTCCTGTGTTTTGCTTTACTAAATAAATACACATTGCTGCAGAAAAGAGCAGTGAAAATGATCAACAGGAAGAAGCAACTCCCCTTTGAGGAAAGATTGCACTACTTGGGACTTTTTAGTTTAGAGAAAAGGAAAGTAACATGCATGGCATGAAGAAAATGGACAGAGAAAACTTCTTCTCCCTCACTTATAATGCTAGAACTTGTGTACTGTACATCCAATGAAATCTGAATATTGGAAGATTCAGGATGAATAAAAAAAAGTACCCAGCACGTAATTAAACTATGGAACTCCCCGCCACAGCATATGGGCCGCTGGCCTGATCCAGCTGGCTCTTCTCATACTCTTACATTTCTTATTTTGTTTTAAAGAATGGTCTTTGAATATTTCATAACCCCCAAATTAATGCATCCTTTCGATTTCCATGTAAACAGAAAGAGCTACTATGTTCTGTGTAGAACAGGATGCATCTTTGCCGGGCAATTAAATGCAGCTTAATGAATGCACTGATTAACAGGCCCCTGGATGTCTGCAAACCAGCAAGCCAGCAGAGTCTGGTGAATAGATTGCGCCGAACAAATCCTGGCTCGGCTGCAGACGGAGGCCGTAAGAGCATGAGAACTACCGCGCTGCATCAGATTGCGGGGTGAGGATTTCTGACTCGTTTTGCCACCACCAGTTTTGCACTCTGTGGAACCTGCGTGCCACTTGCAGTCATAAAAAACGTAAGCAGAGCCTGCTGGACCAGCATCTTGTTCTCACAGTGACCACTCAGATGGGAAACACTGAAGCAGAATACCTCTTGTGCTTCCGAGCAACTGGTATTCAGAAGCACTTACTGCCTCCAGTCATGAAGACAGAGCATAACTATCACGGCTAGTGGCCATTGGTAGCTTTATCCTCCATGAATTTGTCCAATCCTATTTTAATGCCGGGACGCGGGTGGCGCTGTGGGTTAAACCACAGAGCCTAGGACTTGCCGATCAGAAGGTCGGCGGTTCGAATCCCCGTGATGGGGTGAGCTCCCATTGCTCGGTCCCAGCTCCTGCCAACCTAGCAGTTCGAAAGCACAAAGTGCAAGTAGATAAATAGGTACCGCTCCAGTGGGAAGGTAAACGGCGTTTCCGTGTTCTGCTCTGGTTCGCCAGAAGCAGCTTAATCATGCTGGCCACATGACCTGGAAGCTGTACGCCGGCTCCCTCGGCCAATAAAGCGGGATGAGCACCGCAAACCCAGAGTTGGTCACGACTGAACCTAATGGTCAGGGGTCACTTTACCTTTTTATTTTAAGGTCATTCAAGTTGGTGGCCCCATCACTGCGTCCTGAAGGACGGAGTTCCATAGTTTAACTATGAGCTGTGTGAAGAAGTACTTTATTTTAATCTGTCCAGAATCTTCAAACATTCAGCAACAGCAACAGCAACAGTCAAAAGGCAGTGCAAAAGGCAGGAGGGAAACGCTGCCAAAATAGTGAGCCAGCATGAGATGCTTAATCGCAGGGTCGTGGGTTTGAGCCTCACGTTGGGCACAAAGATTCCTGTATTGCAGGGGGTTGGACTAGATCAGGGGTCAGCAAACTTTTTCAGCAGGGGGCCGGTCCACTATCCCTCAGACCTTGTGGGGGGCCGGACTATATTTTTTGCGGGGGAGGGATGAACGAATTCCTATGCCCCACAAATAACCCAGAGATACATTTTAAATAAAAGCACACATTCTACTCATGTAAAAACACCAGGCAGGCCCCACAAATCACCCACAGATGCATTTTAAATACAGTGGTATCTCGGGTTACGTACTTAATTCGTTCCAGAGGTCCATTCTTAACCTGAAACTGTTCTTAACCTGAAGCACCACTTTAGCTAATGGGGCCTCCTGCTGTTGCTGCGTCACCAGAGCACAATTTCTGTTCTCATCCTGAAGCAAAGTTCTTAACCCGAGGTACTATTTCTGGGTTAGTGGAGTCTGTAACCTGAGGCACATGTAACCTGAAGTGTATGTAACCCGAGATACCACTGTATAATGACACATTCTACACATGTAAAAACACACCGATTCCCGGACTGTCCGTGGGCTGGATTTAGAAGGCGATTGGGCCAGATCTGGCCCCTGGGCCTTAGTTTGCCTACCCATGGACTAGATGGTCCTTGTGGTCCCTTCCAACTCTACAGTTCTGTGATTCTGTAGCATACAACCAGCCATGTGTATCTTAAGCTAGAAGGCAGACTAATGATCTGGCATGACCGGTTACTGCCAGAATCTGATTAAGAGTCACAGCTCAGTGCTTGGTGTCTTCTGCCCTCGTCTAAAGTGGGCAGCAGTAGAGCCTGAAGCAGGGTAGACAACTTGATGCTCTCTCTAGCTGCTGCTAGATTGCAACTCCCAGCATTCCTGACCATCTGCCACACTGTCAGAGACAATGTGAGTCCAACAACATGTAGAGAGTACCCCCTTTAAGGCTGCTCCTGGGCTGAATGATGGGAAGTGGCAGTTACAAACTTGGCAGATGTGCAGATCGATTTTTGAGGAATATGCTTTGCATTCAAAAGGTCTATGTTCCATCTCCTGCATCTCCAGATAGACTAAGAGAAACCGTTGTCTGAAAGCACAGACTGTCAATGACCATCACTGCTGGCAATACAGAGTGAGATGGACTGATGGTTGGGGGGGGGGGTTTGAGTCCCGATGAACTCAGGGGATCGTACCTTGGAGTAAATGTGATTAAGATACACTAAGTCAAATAAAGGAAAGGCTGCGGGTGACATAATAAAACTACTTTGCATCTTATACTTTTT